ACACGCATAAATCGAGAAATGGTCCAAATTAAAAAAAAAAAAAAAAAAAAAAAAAAAAATCTCACCTGACGACCTAGCCGCAGGTTGGGAGGTTCCCCTACGGCTTTCCTTTTCCTTTTCCATTTCCATTTCCTTTCTTTCTTTCTTTCTTTCTTTCTTTCTTTCTTTCTTTTCTTTCTTTCTTTCTTTCTTTTCTTTCTTTTCTTTCTTTCTTTCTTTCTTTCTTTTTCTATTTTTTACCCTTTTGATGAGGCCAGGGCGCAGCTGGCAGCTGGCTGAAACGCGCCGACGAGATGCGGATTCTGTGTATTTAGTATTTGTTCTTGCTGTACATGATGGCTTTCAATGATTGGCGTGCCGAGCGAGACATCAAGATGATGAACCAGAAAAAGAAGAACCGATGTGCAACAAATGATGTGACAAAAAAAGGGGTGGCACACACAATCCCGAGTACTTTTTCAGGGACTAAAATAAGACGTGAGAAACCAATGGCATCCGATCTCAACTCTGTTCTTGCGTGTACGTAGACAGCTCGCCTCTGTTTGAAATGATTGGTTGAGTCATACGATTCTGATCACTGATTGATTATCAAACAAACAAACTCTCCAAAACAGTTTGACGAAACGGGGGCTTGCCTTTCAAAGAAAAAAAAAAAAAAAAAAAAGGAAGCTTGCCTCTGTTCGGCACTCAGTCACTCAAAGTTTCCACGCTGCATGCTACAGTCTTCTCCCAAATACAACGTGTACGGTCATTATAGCTGAATTTGGTGCATCTTTCAGTCTAAATTTTTCAGCTATAATGGCCGTACGTTGTATTCGGGGGAAGACTGTAGGATTCAAGTATATCTATGCATGTACCCAAAATCAACTATTTCCACAGGCTTTTCACACTCGCTCACCATCCGATCTCAACTCTGTTCTTGCGTGTAGGTAGACAGCTTGCCTCTCTGTTCGGCACTCAGTCACTCTTAAAATTTTACACACTGCATGCACTGCATGCTAGTAATCAAGAACCAAGTCTTACGTACCCAAAATCGAATACTTCCACAGCGGCCTGCTCTCACTCGCAAAGTTAATTTTCATGCATTTTGCTAACAAAAGAAGTTGCAGTTTCAAGCACATTCGGGACATCCCTGTGTCCTTGTCGTCTTCGCAGCTGAGGGCCCTCATCCTACCTACCTACCTTGAGGCGGTGTTTTTTTTTTCTTTTTTTCCGTTTTCTTTTCGTTTCTTTTTCTCTGCATCTTTCTACTTCATAATCTTCCGCTTCTTCAAGCAGAGGTGAGTGCTTGCCTGCCGATCTCCGCGAAACACGTGGAGGCAGAGCTGCCAAGCCAGTTGCTTCCGCCAGCCCGGTGTTTTCTTCGCCGGATGTTTTTTTTTTTTTTAATTCATTCTTCTCTGTTTTCGAACTCCCCCCTTTCCCCCCTTCCCTTTATTTATCTGTAAATATTTATTTGGCTTTGATTCTCTGACATGTGTTTGCAGACTGACATGCGCGGTGCACCAAAGCCAGGCAGGCGAGCCCCCGGCAGGTCGACTCAGCATTCTATGACGTATAATGGAGCCGTGTGATAGTGACCGCTGTGGTGAATTCCCAAGTGAACGTCGATACCCTTTTCAAGCCATTGGTCACGCCAGCGGTGCGAGGACTGTGCATGCGGGCCATGATGCGGCTGTGTCGCATTCCGCTGATCTTCTTGGACTGCGAAGACTTATTAGTAGTAGTAGTATCAAAAGGGGGTTGCTGAACAGCTTGGTGATTGGGGTGGGTCGTCGTGGTCGTCGGGGGTATTCATACAATGCAAGTACGTTGATCTGCGTGCTGTTTTTTTCAATTTTCGGGCTCCTGTCAGTGGGGGGGAGAGAGAAAAAAGGCCCAATACCAATTATACCATGCCTAGCCCTAGTAGTGGCAGAGCCTGCATTCAGCCGTCGAGATCAGCAGGCCTCTGTGCCGGCGGCAGAAGCTGACCCTTCGAGCCCGCCGGAGTCGTCACCCTCGGCGAATATCTCACGGCCGAATCCCCCTGTTGCGTGGGGACCACCACCGCCACCGCCACCCCCACTGTCATCGTTGGTGGGAAATGAATCACTCCTGGAGTCCGAGCTGGCGAAGGTGAGAATACTCCCCGATGAACTGTTTACGTCGACCCCGACCATCGCCCTGTTCCACGGCAACACGACGAAGAGCTTTCCAACAACAGGGGACAGTGATTGGTGCGGGCCCGTCATCCGCAGCATCGTGGCTACACCTCTGAACCCGGTCATCTATTACCTGCTGGAGGAGGTTTGCGTTAGGGATGACAAGGTCTTGGAAAGGTTGATGTCTGTCAGAAAGGCAAATCTCTCGACGGTAGAGACGGAGCCGATCAACGCAGAGGAGGACGAGTCTCTCGTCGTGACACATTGGTGGCCGTTCTCCATGCAGAATGGGACGCGCTTCTCTGAGCGCATGAAAGAGCTGGGAAACGGCACGTCTAGCCAATGGATGGCGCGGTTCGATGGCTTGTTGATGGCTGCAGATGGATCTCATCTACTCCTACCTACCATGTCCACGGGAGGAGTGTCGGCGGCCGCAATCACCTCCCTGTCCTCTGTCGACGGCTCACGCCTGTCGGTCCCCGTGCCCGCTGGGGTGGGAACGCCCTCGTCTTACACCTTAAACCCCAACCAGACATTGCTGTACATCACGGTTGCGGGTCCGCCCGTCTGGCTCATCTCCTCGTCGGTCGGGGACGTCGGGCTCCCGATTGTTGACGACAACGACACCCCCATGGGCAAGCGGCCGCTGCAGGGCGCCGGACAGGGCGTTTCCAGCGCGAAGTTCACCTCGCAGAGCGTCATTTCGGACGGGAGTTGCCTCTACTTCAACGACCAGGGAAGGCAACGCGTTTGGGGCCTCGATCCCCTGACCTTCAGCACCACTCTCGTGGCTGGCTCGGGCCTCGATGGCGTCGTCAATGGCGACGGCTTCAACGCGTCGTTCAAGATGCTCAAGGAGGTGGCGGCCACGCCGGACGGTTGCGACGTCTTTGTCGTCGAGAACGACGATCCAGGGCGCGTTCGCTGGCTGATGCTGGATTCCCCTTGCACCACAGCCAAGAAGGTGGAGACGCCCCTCGTGTACACGAAGACGGGGCTGGAAAGCTTGGCCCTTCACTACTACGGCAATCGACTCAAGCTGTACGTCGGGACCACGGACGGCCTCTTGTTCCAAGTGGAAATCAACAAGTCTAGGCTGCACGGTTGCGCTCTGCCCCAGCCCTCTCCCCCCCCGTCGTCAAGGACAGATCAATCCTTCTTCCGAAACGACTCCAATTCGAATCTCGTCATTGCTTTGAGCGTCTTCGTAGTGTTGGCGGTGAGCATCGGTGCCCTTCTTGGGGGTCTGTTCTGGCGCCGAAGACGGCGCCGCCGGGCCCGAGGTCACGAACACCATCAGCCGTCGTCCTTCGCGGAGGGTCGCAGCTCGTCAACTCCCGGTGGTGCGTCTACAGTGACCACTTCCAAGACGACACCCACGTCGTCGTGGGGGAGTTACTGTGCTTCCCACCCACCTCCCACCTCCGAACTGGCACTCAAGCCCTTTCACGTGAGACAGTTCGATCTGGCAATACTGGAGCGTTGCACGGACAACTTCCATCCGAGACGCAGGATAGGGGAGAAGGGGGCATTCGGCGAAGTGTACAAGGCGTGCTTGGGGGGACATGGCAGCAACAAGGAGGAGGGCCTGGAGGAGGGACAGCAGCAGGAGGAGGAGGAACAGCAGGAGGTGGAGATGATGGTGGCCATCAAGGTGATGACGGGGGAGCTCACGAAGACGAAGAGGAATCAGTTCATTGCCGAGGTCAACACTCTGAGCCACATCAATCACATCAACCTGATTGAACTGATCGGCTACTGCATGGAGGGCGATAGGTCCATCTTGGTGTATCCGTACTATCGAGGAGGAAGCCTCTACGAGCGCCTGCACGGCTGGCATAAGAAGCAGCAGAGCACTGTAGGGTCGCACGACAAGCCTCGTTTCCCCGGCCGGCCGTTGACTTTGGAGGAGCGCATGTGCATCACCTTGCAGATTGCTCAGGCCTTGAGCTACCTGCATGGCAACGTCAGACAACCCATCCTTCATCGAGACATCAAGAGCGCTAACGTTCTCCTTGGGGATGGGGAGGGAAAGACGCTTCACGCCGTTCTCGCGGATTTCGGCCTGGCGACCATCGGCGAGAGAGTCTTCGGCACCGACCACCAGCAAATGATTGCGACCTCGCACATCGGTGGCACCTTCGGGTACATGGCGCCCGAGTACATGATCAAAGGGGAGCTGTCCGAGAAGAACGACGTGTACGCTTTCGGCGTGCTGGTTCTCGAGATTTTCTCGGGGAGGAAAGTCGTCTGGCCGGCCGCTGCCGGCCCTGGGTGGCAGACGCTCCGCGAGTGGGTTAAGCCGTTCCTCAGCCGTAGTAGGGACGACGACTCCCTGTCAGAGACGGTGTCGGAGGAGACTCGGACTCAGACTCAGACACGAACTCCCAATGTCGTGCAGACTCCAACTCAGGATCAGCCTGAGGTGCAGACCCGGAATCAGACTCGGAATCGGAATGAGTGCAAAGAGCAACTGCCTGTGGTTGACATGCTCAAGTCTATTCTGGACCCTTGTGTGAAGGAGGAGGTGGTCGATACCCTGACCATGGATATGGTGACAGGTACGCTACGGATGGCTTGGGAGTGCGTCAGCATGGAAGATGTAGAGAGACCCACAATGCTCGCAGTTGTTCGCCGACTTCAAGGGGTCCTGGAGAGAGGGAAGATCATCAGCATCTGACAAAACACGCCAGTCATCGAAAACGAAACGAGTGCATCTGCCCAGGAAAGGTGGCAAAATGCACTCGTTACTATTTATAGCAAACCGATGAACCTGGCCTTTTTCTGCAGGAAGATGCAATCGTTTCGTTTTTCGTTTCGTGTCCCGTGCGGCGACGCCCTGTTACCATGAATGCATACCAACGGTCCAACCGGCTCCAACGGGTGCATCTTACCACTTTAGTTTTGTTTTCCTTTTTTTTTAAATAAAAATATGACTCTAATCATCGTCTAAGGAGCAATCAGTCCGGTTCCTTTCCACCCGCAAGTCATATACCCAGAGAAATGCCCCCGCTTAGTTGAGCCCAAGAGGGTCCAGGGCCCAGTTGTTTTGAAAGCGAAGGGATCAGCATCCGCCAAACCGCAAAGAGCAAGAGCTGGTGATGTGAGCATCTGCAAAACCGCAAAGAGCAACAGCTGGTGATGTGATACTAGAGTTCATCCTTCTGGTGTCGAAATTGGCCAGCCAGAAGAGGGGTGGGGAGTGAGAAGAACAAAAGGGGGGAGGGGGGGTGTCATAAGACTTGGGGGGGGGGGGGGGCTTGGGTAAGACCCTATGGCCCATGTGTGTTGAAGAACCATCTGCGTTGGGGTGCAGAGCCAGAATTTAAGCGCTTTCTCTGCCTGGAGTATCTTCTCTCTCTCTCAGATGGGCCATAAAAAAACTTGATTGTTTCTGTCTTGCCATAGTTCACCCTTTTGCACTTCTCTGCATGTTTGGGCAATGCAGTTTGTGACAAAGACTTGGTGTCCAACTTTCATCCCAAATTGAAGCACCACTCCTCCATTCAAGGTCCGATGTATGCTGGAAATCGCTAGCGTCAATGATGCCTTGAGGCATAATTCACTCCCTGAGGCTGACAGTTTTGCTGAACTTCAAGCATATGTCTTTCTGCTGTATAAGAAGGGGCCTAAGGAGGATGTCAGGAACTGGAGGCCAATCTCCAGTCTTGAATGCAACATTTAAGATTTTGGCTACAATAATGGCCACAAGACTAAACGACATCCTGCCATTGCTCATACACCCAACACAGACCGGCTTCCTCCCCGGTCGCCAACATGGGCATTTTCGGGAAAGCACTGGTAACCAAAAATTCAATTTTGGTCTGCATATCCCCCCCGGAGCGTTCATGCGTGGCCAAGGCCACGGCCCCGTCCGGGCCCACGACCCCGCGACTTTGCGGCCGCGTGGCGGCCAGTGGGGGGGCTGGCGGGGGTTTTGGAGGCCTACTGGGTTTGCGCAACCCCAACCCCACCCCCTCACAGAAAAAAAAAAAAAAAAACGAATGTCGGGAGGGGGTTGGGTTGGGGGTTTGGCCCACTAAAATAATAATAATAATAATAACAATAATAATAATAATAACAATAATAATAATAAAAATCTTGATTGATTGATTGATTGATTGATTGTTTGGGATTGATTGATTGACTGATTGATTGATTGATTGATTGATTGATTGGTGGGGGGGGGGTTCCCCCCCCCCCCCCCACACACACACACAGGCGCGTGCACTCCGCAGAAAAACGAGTGTGGCAGTGTATATTTCCATGTTCTAGCGGTAGATTCATTCGATTTTGCTCATCTTATCGATGGAAGTACCATGAGGCCAGCCGCGAGGTTGGAGACTTACCTGTTCTCTCTCTCTCTCTCTCTCTCTCTCTCTCTCTCTCTCTCTCTCTCTCTCTC